CTTACCTCACCGCTTAATGCACATTTCCCACAGGCCTTCGGTCGTATTGGTGAGCGGACCCACCATCGGATCGACGAAGTTGAAAGTATAGCTCACCCAACTGCTCGCAGTACAGCGGGTGCAGGAAGTGAGCGCCCCCTCCCTTAATTGCTACATTTTTAAGCTCCTGAAGTCAATTTTTCCGTTTGGCGCGAACTTGATATGAGGATGTAGCTCGAGAAGAGACTAATACGCATGGAATCGGGTTAATGTATTAGTGTTAGACTCTGGTTCTTACAAGACTAAATCTAGGGCACAGAAAGTGATCGTCCCCTCGTAATCAGATATCATCCCATACAGAAACCAAGTCATTTTGATCAATACTTCGTATGACCACCTCGAGCCTCCTTCATTGCATCAGGACTCTTCGGCATTGGGCGTACAGTCTTTCGCACTAAGTTGTCATCAATGGTGGGCCAAATACGCCGCAACTTCACCTCTAGATCGTCCAGTGAAAAGGCTGGCGACCGTTTCAGCTCCTGCTTCATTTCCGCCCAAAGATTCTCAGTTGGGTTCAAGTCAGGGCTTTGTGGGAGATGACCTAGGCTGGTCAACCCTGGCTCTTTTAATCACTTCGTGGAAACTTTAGCTCGGTGAGCTGGAGCGTTGCCATGCACAAATTGCGTAGGGTTAGGAAGGCCGTTAATAGTTCTCGTAAAAGGAATCTGAGACCTAAGAATGCGGCGGTAATAGTCATAGGTCACCGATTCCTCGCAGAAGTGGAGAGGACAAACCCATTCCCACATACAGAAGCCCACACCATGAGAGTTTGTCTTCTGCTTTTGAGCGTAGGGAGCACGCAGCGGTCCGCAAAAGCCTCGTGCATTCGACACCACACCGAGACTCAACCGGTAGTCCCATGCAGCTCCACTTGAGGCTCGTCGGTGAAGAGGACATCGCCCCAGTCCTCCGCCACGCGGTCTCCATACTTGCAAGCATACGCTACACGCAGCTTGCGGTGTCGCTTGGACAGGAAGGGCTTCTTTCTGGCCAAGCGCCATTGAGACCGGTCTCCTTGATCCGGGAGCGGATTGTGCTGGGTGACAAAGTCTTTCCAATTTCATCACTAACTTGAGTAGCCAGCCTCGCCGCGCTGACGAAGCGATTCACCTCAACAGCACGGACGATTCGGTGGTCATGGTGGGTCTCTGTGACTATCTTGCGCTCCTAGCTTCGCGTGACCGTGCTCGTTGAAATGAGCAAAGATAGAACGGACAGTACTCCTTGGCAGTTCCAGCAGCTTGCTTGTACTGGTGTAGCCTAGACCGCTTCGGTGCTTCTGCACGCACAGCAACCGAATGTCATGCGACCACTGATGACGCTGGTACCCCATTGGTGCTTGGGAAGGAAAAATTGAGAATGATAAACTGCCGAGTCGACACCCGACCGCGTGCAAACAGCTCCAGCTCTGTTAAATTAGACATTTTCTATACCAATTGCTGCAACATTCGAATAACATCAAGTTTGAATACAAATCTCTATAAAGTTTACCATCTGTGGACGGGGCCTCTCACTATCAGCGTCACAATTTTTGGTTAAACGCTGATTGGCGGAGCGTTAAGGCCAATAGCCAATCGGTGTTTCTCCTGATGTTTTGGCGCGTTCTCGTACCAAGTTGGCGCCAATCGGATAAAATTTGACTTCAGGAGCTTCAAAAATGTACTTATTAAGGAAGGGGGCGCTCACTTCCTGCACTCACTGTACGTACCCAGCAACATGCGGTTATTGGCTAGTGTGTGCAAGTCACGTACGTGGCGAACTCGTCTAAGTGAATCCGAGAATTGCTGTGCATGAATACACTAATTAATTGCTAATTTGAAACCGTACCAAAATTATTAGGGACGTACCGAGACTTGATGAACTTCGTGCTACTGGGAAGCGGCGTCGTTTTCGTGCGTTTTTTTTTTGTATACAGTGCTTTCGATTCATTGCTTTGTCGTCAAAATCACACACCCAACAAGCCCTAACACTTTGTAGTGCTTTCCGCGACTACCCTTGAACTTCTTCTGTAGGCTTGTCTCGACGATGTGGCCTTCTCCTCCTATCTACAAACATATACTATTAGAGAGCATACAGTACAGCATCACAATAATATTTTGCCGTTAAATTGGCCGTTTAGGAGCTCATTGGTGCATAAAACAAGACACGCCGCGTACCAGTCAGACATTGTTTTTTTCGCCCACCTTGGTCATATGAGCTTCTTGAGGGTATGACGCCTTCATTCATGAAATGTAGGGCTCGGGGAAGGTGATCTTCATCTTTGCGTGTCATAATCTCGCAAAGTTGCTGTGTTGTTCTTAATTCCTATTTGCACGCCGCTTTTCCTGCAATATGCTCTCTGACGTGGAGCTTTGTCGTCTCGGAGCACTGCGTGCAGAGCATAGTGCGGTCAAGCAGCTCAGCATCCATCGCCCACGAGACTCTCTTTGAAAAACGTCCATGGGACCTCTTTGATTGCCTTTTGTAGAGTATCTACGCGTTTGGTAGCGCGGTTGCGCTTCGACACCACATAGGTTTGCCCCGCAGTAGAAGCATCACAAGCAGGTCGCTTGCTGGGCGGCGACGTGAGTCTCCTTCGACTGACCTTGAAGCTATCTCGGAGGATGTGAGGTTGCTCAACACCAAAACATGGGGATTTGTTGTAACTCCCTGGCATCCGACTCGAGACGCTCCTGATTACGAGCTATTGGAGGGTCATTGGGGGGATACCATGATGGTAGGCATGAGTTGGCGTGATTTGCGTGACTTTCCTTGTCTGGAGGCACTCGTACTGCTCGAGGTACCCCTGGGCGTCATGGCACCGGTCGTCGTAGA